CGGCATGAAAATCAGGGAAGCGTGAAGCAGCTGAAGACACGCTTTAGGTTACCATAAAGTGTTTTCCGATATACTACTGTGTGCGCCAATATAAATGTGCCGATGCATTCGCCGCTAGCTGGGTTCGTCGTGATTATCATTCCATCTATCAAGCAAGTAAAGCACCAAAGTCTCGAATCCATTTCTTTTTTCGCCTTGCAATTATGATCTCAGTCAGCTCTCAGTCATTCATCTTAACATACATCAAGTGGATTTCATTTTCATTTACCCGCTAAAGTACCATCTTGAAATTTCACATTTTGGGCTTTCGCCTTTTTAGAATCACGAAAATTTTGTTTGAAATTTTTGAGGTGATGTAATAAGCCAGTGATTATTCAGACTTGATGTCTGATTTTAGTACTCTTGAATTATTTGGAAAAGCTGTTTATCTGGAATTTACAGTTTGCGTCTTTTCTTCTCTCACTTGAATGACACCTGAGTTATAGTCCTGGATAAAGGAATTTAAAATCAGTGCTAATGGTCCACTTAAGTGCCTCAGATTACAAATTCATCTATCGCTTTGAACAGTCACCGTTACGATTTACTGGCTTCGGGCAACTCTTTTAATTACTCTGCGCATTTGTAGGGGTTCCTGTTTCTGTCCTTCCTGGGCCGATTCCTCGCTTCGTGTTCGCTTCATTCTCACTGATAAATTGGTTTTCCGCAGCATGGACAGTAAAACTTCAGAAAGCAGTAAGTAATTACAAAACTCTTTCATCTATTCCCATCAAAACTACGTAAGTGAATCCTTGTTATTTTCTGTTATAATAAAAACAACATTCGACCACTGCATAATCAGATGAGAGTGCCAAATCGCTTTTCGCCTCTTTATGTTGCTTTCAAGAAGACAGTCTTTGTGTCCCTAAAAACATGCATTTTCGATCATATTTTTGCCTAAGCCAGGTTAATCTTGGGTGTCAAAGTAAGGAAAAGCGTTTAAGATAGAGAACAGGAGAAAATGGAAGAAAGAACGAATGAGGTAAGACGTTTCGGTCCATTAAGTCATATACGTCTTAGCTCAACACCACTCTAATTTTAACAGCCTTTAAGGCATTTCCGTTTTTCAGCATCTCTTACATTTTTCTGCGTAGTTTCAACAAACTAAACTTCCAACCAGATTCAGCAACATTACTTTTCTCCAGCGACAGACAAGAGATGCCTGTGAATGTGTAGCTG